CTTTATTTGAAATTTCTGATAAATGCGAACATGAGCTCATTTGCGTCTTTTCTGCGGTAAAATGAGAGAAAATATGATTGATGATACTGAAAATGGCGAAACTGCTGCAGCAATTTTACATTGAAATGGTTTATGATTTGAAGAAAATAATAAAATTATAACATTTTAAAACAGGTCACACAGGTCAGGTGTTTGGAAGGAGATACATTTAACGGCCATGAAATCACTACATACGGTAAAGAAAGGAAAGGTAAAACAAATGATGTATGATTGATGTTTCACTTCATCAAACATCGAAAGTGCCTCAAATATGCTTTTTGTTTTCTCCAACATTACCTACTCTTACTCATAAATTGGAGAATTTCGCGAAATCAATTTCCCATAATCTTTTTCACAGTCTATCCTATGAAATAGAGATATTGGTGGAAAACCCCAAATGTAAAGCCTATTTATAATTTTAAAATGTAGGTAATTAACAAATCCAGCAAAGTTTTCTTGAAAATTATTATGGTTAAACTTGACTGGAGTAACGTAAAGATAGGTTGAATGAATATTTATTTTGACTTGACCGCAGCTATATTAAACTCGTAAAGAAAAATAGCGCTGCGTGAAATTCTTGCGGACAGAATAATATAACGTTTTATTAGATTTCGGATTTCGGTGCAAGTCCGCGTAAGCCTTGCAATAACGGCTACTACCCGATACACGAGGCGGCGAAAAATGCTTCGTCGAAAACCATGGAAGTTTTCCTCGCTTGGGGCGAATCCCTGGGCTGTACCAGAGACGAAATGATTTCCTTTTATGACGCAGAAGGCAACGTACCTTTGCACTCGGCGGTTCACGGTGGGGACATAAGAGCCGTGGAACTTTGCATACGATCCGGAGCGAAAATTTCAACGCAACAACACGATTTGTCAACGCCGGTGCATCTGGCTTGTGCCCAAGGGGCGATCGAAATTGTGAAAATCATGTTTCAAATGCAACCCGAAGAAAAGTCCGCTTGCTTGGCGTCGTGCGACGTGCAAAAAATGACGCCGTTGCACTGTGCCGCCATGTTTGACCATCCAGAAATCGTGGAATATCTTATAGAAGAAGGTGCTGACTGTAATGCTATAGACAAAGAGCGGAGGTCTGCTCTATTGTTGGCTGCTTTGCGAGGAGGATGGAAAACTGTAAGTTAGAATTATGTGTTTGTCGAATTTTCCACTAAGTTAAATTTGAGCTAAATTGAGACAATAAAATACACGTTTCATGAAGTTAAAGTTCTTGTTAACTAATATTAATAAAGTTTCTTGTTGTTTCAGGTACACACTCTTATAAGACTTGGGGCAGATATTAATATCAAAGACATCAACAAAAGGAACGTGCTTCATCTGGTGGTTATGAATGGAGGTCAGTTGGACAAGTTTGCAGCAGAAGTAAGTAATGTAAGTAAACATTTGTTTATGGGCATTCCTGATTTGCGCTTCAAAGATATTTTTGTAGTTTTTTATGGATGATGCAGTTGTTTCGTAAGTAATTGAAATAGGCACGATAATGAGCACTAACAAGCCATTTCTAACAATTTAATAAGCTAGTTAACTTTATAGATCGAATTCCTCTACCTTCACATTTTCTTTTCATCGTCACGTCCTTTGATGCTACTTCATTTTCAGCTATCGATTTTCATTTTTCCATTATTTGCCTTTTTCTTTGTCCTTCCTATGTGTGACGTCAAATTAGAATGTGCAGTCTCATGTGATATAATCTTTCTTGGGAAAATAATAATGTTTGAATTATACGTAACAAGTATTACATTCAGGAACGATAATTTATTGTCAGAAACTGTTCATGGGTAAGTCTATTGTTTATATAGAGCGCGTAATAGGTTAAGTATATAGCACTAGTTCCACTTGCTAGTTTCCACTTGAAGGTTTGTTGTTATTGTAACAATGTAGAAGCTCCAACACTTCCTTGACAGCGGAGTCTGTTCTATTATTGTTCTGCTGTATTTTGACATGGAGTCTATATTATGAAGGAAAAATATGCGTAGATTTTGAGTCAAGTACTCTTTGTTGGTTCTTTTTAAATAAAATAAAAAAATAAGTCTGCATTTTTTATCAAAATTCTGAAGTTATGAAGGAATAGTCTGTCGATCTGTAGTAGGATAGCGATTAGTCTGAAGATTTTCAATAGGTACCTAGTTATTTACGTCTAGAGCGCGTCTGCTTCGGGACTTTTATTCGAAAAATTAAGACTTCTAGTTGAATCGACAGCGCGATGTCGTCTATAAATAGCGCTTAGTAGTCATTATTTGGAAGTCAGTTCAAATAAGAGTGTTGTTGTAGGCAGTTTTATACCAGATTTGTTGTATACGTTTTGATGAGTGATAAAAAAATTAATGGTAAATAAGTACATTTTTGTAAGGTCAATTTGTTGTATAAAAGTTACCTACTGTTTCTAAAGTGGGGTTTAGTCGACCCGGAATTTGTGACAATACTATTAGAGTTATTTTGTGGAATGGTCAGAATATTAATTTATCTAAAACACTTTCATTTCTAGAATAACACAGCAGAAGCTCTCACTACTTGACATGACATATTTTTCTATAGCAACTAACTGGTTAATCTAACAAAATTCTTAACATATTTCAATTAAAGAACAAACATTATAAAATTTGTCCTTGCGTGAGGCTTTTGTCAGGATAACAGCAATATTATTTGCACTGTTAAGATACTCTTCATCTAAGATCTTTTTTGACGCCAAATCTTCCATAAAATGTTCTGTAATATCAATATGTTTTCCGCGTTTTGAATCTTCGTGAATCATTACAATCGAAATCGCTCTCAGATTCTCCATTTTTAACGTTACAGTTACAAGTTTGCAATCCCGAAATCATACTTTTCAAGTTCACTACTTCTTGTGCGGAAACCGCTCCTGCCACGTACTCTGCTTCAGCTGTAGATACGGCAACACACGTTTGTTTCTTCGAAAACCAACTGATTAGATTCCCAGCATCCAATACTACTTATAATCTTCCAGTGGGTTTTGTCTCCAGCTCAGTCTGCATCGGAATATGCTACTAATTTTTCTTGACCCTCGTATACATCAGTCCAGTATCAATAGTGTAAATACCTCGTTACCCCAGGATTTTTTCGCCAGCAGTCTACAAAATTTGAGTTGGTTTGTCCAAAAATCGACTAAGATAGAATAATGCATACAGAATATCTGGCCTGGAAGTGCATGCCAAGTACATCAGAGATCCAATTAACTTTCTATATGGGACATCAATGATTTCATCAGATTTGTCAACTTGAAATCCTATGTGGTCATAGGTATAGAAACTCCTTCACAATCTGACCTACCAAAATCTTGTAGAATTTTATTATTATAAATACTTTTTCTGAGTGATACTCATGATTTCAGAAGTGCTTCTTATCTCCATTCCAATGGATCTACTAATTTCTCCCAAATCTTGAGCATTTAATTTTTTTTCGAATTATCTACCGCATCCTGCATTTTACATTTCCCTGCTGTGATAATGAAATCATTTACAGAAACAATAAGCCATACATCTTGTTTGGTATAAAATAATCATGTAATCATATTGAGATCTTTTAAAGTCTAATCTTTCATTATTCCAATAAATCTGTTATTCCAGTACTTCTGGCTCTCTGTCAGTCCAAACAAAGATCTGTTAGGTTCCAAAACTTTGTTTTTGCCTGCATTTAAACCATACGGTGTTTTTATATATACCTACTTCAGATTCAAGTTTCCCATTCAGATAAGCACTTGAAACGTCTACAATAGTTGACTTACATTTTAATTCTTCCAGAGAGCGTGTATTAGAAATGCTCTAATCGTCAACAACCTGGCAACTGGTGCATGCATGTGTAAAATCGTTCTCCTTCTGAATCTGGAAGCCTTTAGCTTCTAATCGATCCTTCTTTGTACCATCTTCCTTGGTTCGAAACACACATCTCGTATCAATCACAGATTTATTATCAGAAAGTTTACACAGAGTCCAAGTTTGAAGATATATTAACTTTATTAATACACCAATTATCTTGCTAATAATCGCACTTCTGACACCAAATTGTGACGGATTCCGAGTTTATTAAAACTCACTTCACAAAAAGAAACAACTTTTATTAAACTAATTGATAGACCGTGTACTCGGTATTTATTCAGAAAACCCAGCGCCCTACTTATAGTTGGCCTTCAGACCCGAATTCTGTAGAGCGAGCAAGCCAATAGAAACACAACTTGATGGGGAAAATTCAAATAAAATATCTGACACACAGATGTTTCAAGTCAGAAACATCGCAACTCAACTCACTAGTTCGCATTAAATTCACCTCTAACAATTTTTTTACAACAATTAATAGAACATTTCTTCAACATAGGCAAAATCCAAAGAGAGTCTACTACAATTACTAAACGAAAAAGACCAAACGGGCTGCGCACCGTTGCACTACGCCAGCAGAGAGGGCCACATAAAAAGCCTGGAAAACCTAATACGTTTAGGAGCCTGCATAAATCTGAAAAATAACAACAACGAGAGTCCATTGCATTTTGCCGCAAGGTACCTGTATATACAACAACATCCATCCACTTATAAAACCTATCCAATTCTAGATATGGACGTTACAATACAGTCAAGCAACTATTAGATTCAGAAAAAGGTAATTTTATAATAAACGAGAGCGACGGAGAAGGAATGACACCGTTACACATAGCTTCGCAACAGGTAAGCTAATTACTACCAATAAATGTGTATCGTAATATTATAAATTGTCTTAGGGCCATGCAAGAGTAGTTCAACTTCTTCTTAACAGAGGAGCCCTCTTGCATCGGGACCACAACGGCCGGAATCCACTTCATTTAGCCGCTATGAATGGCTATACACAAACTATCGAGCTACTTTTATCGGTGCATTCTCATTTACTGGATCAAGTGGATAAAGATGGGGTAAGATTTAATCGAATTTAACAGGAGGGTTGTTTAACATTTACATTTTAGAACACCGCGTTGCATTTAGCAACGATGGAGAACAGACCGAATGTAATTGTGCAACTATTATCCATGAACAGTAAGCTGTTGTATAACCAAACCGAAATGAGCGCAATTGATTATGCGATTTATTATAAGTATATGGAAGCTGCTTTGGCAATGGTTACTCATGAGGATAGGTAATTGATTTTTTTTTTAAATATTATTATAAATCCTTAATAAGGTTAATTATTTAGGGCTGAAGAAATAATGGCGATGAAATCACCAAAAAATCCTTGCGTCTCGCTAGCCCTAATAGCCTCAATGCCCCGAGTGTTCGAGGCAGTCCAAGACAAATGCATCATTAAAGCTAACTGTAAAAAAGATTCGAAATTGTTTTCGGTAAGTGACTGACATTCTGAACCACTGAACACTAATTAAAGTTATATAAATGCCACCTCTGGTGTAAACTCATCAAGATTTTAATGGGGAAGAGTTAATTAGAATGGTTTCAAAGCATAACGGTGTACATTATACTAATTATGAAGTACAAAGCAGTGAAAAATTAGTATTTCACGTTGCTATGGTGTTCGTTTTCAGATCAAATACAACTTTAACTGCCTTCAATGTGTTACAGTGACGGAGGAGATTGATGAAAAAACTGGCGATAAGGTCATTTTAAATGAGCCTAGTCCACTTCCAGCTTTAAACGTAAGTATTCACGAATAGAAATAGAAATACAATACTTACAATGATTATACAACTCACTGTACATTATTCCCATATGACACGAGAGGCTTAATAAGTGATAAGCCTTTTGGGATTATTGCGCTTGGTGGCATTTGTCATTAATAATAATAAAAATTAATAAAGCATATAGGTTTAGTTCGTTGTATAACCTTTTGAATACCACTCGATGTTTCAGGATTATCTAATACTTTAACCTGACACAACGCGTTACCAGCAACACCACTCCTCCTTCGGAGTCGTGGTGTTGCTGCGTAACGCGTTTCGTGACAGGTAAAAGTATTATCCGGTAATCCTGAAACCTCTTGTGGTATTACATTCGATAATATTGCACAAAAGAATTATCAAAAAATGATCTGCAAACTCTAGACATTTTCCTAGATGAAGTTGAATTCCTACATATAATGAGGTTAGTATGCGAGAAAAACAATACCCAACGAAATTGTAGGGCAAGAGAACATCGGGTTAAGGTGAAACGGGAGTACTTCCTAAGGGTCCTCTTTCTTCGACATTGTTCTTCTGTATTTTCGTTCTTTTGAGTGTCCATTTCTTTGTTGATTTTCATGTCATCAGCAACGATGTATTCATCTTCACTTTAGACTAGAGATGCCACGAATATTCGGCTACTATTCGGTATTCAGCATATTCGGCCATTTTTTTTTTGTATTCGGTATTCGGCCGAATAGTATTATCCGGCCGAATACCGAAAGCTGAATATTGAAAAAAACGCACATATTACTCAAAAATGTATCTATTTAATAACAAGTCACAATGAATCTAATACTGAAAATCTATTAAATAGGCGACTTTTTATTAATTACTGGTGCTATTTTTATAAGTTTTGCTAAAGATATACTGATAAACAGTAGTATAAGTAATAACGTGCGATCAAAAGAATATAGCTAATAATGCGTAAAATTGCGTATTGTGACACTATATATTCTCAAGTGAACCAAATTCCGTCGTTACCGGAGGCGACGCGATAAGAATGAGACAGGTCTACCTGTTGATAACATGATAACGCACAAAACCCACAGATCTGCCGCCGAATATTCGGTGGCAGAATATTCGGCGCTACAAACGAGAGCGTGGCCGAATATTCGGTATTCGGTATTCGGCCAAATCACTATTCGTGGCATCTCTACTTTAGACCTCTACATTAGGTTACTTTCTTTTCGAGATAGAGGAGGTTGGCCTGGTTTTCTGATTGGATCTAAGTGCTACAGGATACTTTCTGAGAAATGTCTTTAACGAATTTTCGGCGCAAAAAACTTGGGAGTACACCAGTTCTTCTTCTTCTTCCTAGCCGTTCTCTATCCTCTGGATATAGGCCTCTCCCAAATTTTGCCAGGTATTTTTATTCTGTGCGACCTGGTACCGGTTAGTCTTGCTGTTCCCTTGATGTCATCGTACCACCGTTCTTGAGGTCTGCCGACGCTTCTTTGTTCCCCCTAGGGTCTCCATCTTTCTACTTATCAGCTACAGTTGTAGATTGTGTTTCTCTCTACGTGGCCGGCCCAGTTCAATTTGGGGATGCATATTCTATGTTTAATGTCTTCGGCCTGTGTTGTATTTCTTAACCACTTGTTGGTCTTCTGATCCCTTATCATTCTTTTTCCGATTGCTCTCTGATGTACTTGCAGGTTATTTAGGATTTTCTTTGTGAGATTCCATGTTTGTTTTAAACTTTAGTTTACAGCTTCAAAGGTAATTTGGATCGAAATATATGTCGCAGTTTGACATCAGGGTTGCCAACTTTTGAAATTGGTTCACCCGGAGATTTTTCTGCGACTGTAATAAAAAACGCGTTTCCCAAACATATGTTAATTGAAACAGCAAAACAAACATAAAAAAAATCAAACATTTCATGCCAGCGACAACAGAGTACTTAGGCAAAGACTAAAATGAAACCTATACAATGTTGAAAAAAAAAAATTCTCAGTTCCTAACAGCGACCTATTTAAATTTTGTTATTTTTTGCCATGTGACACAAATCACTCAATTATTTCAACATTATACTGAAAACAGGATCTCATGGGCTGTGTTTTCACTATATCACGTTGTTTCTCTTTATCTGCCAACATTTGGTTCTATAGGTTTGTTCCAACAGAGCAAAATCTAAAATTTGTACGTAGAATCCGAAATTCATATACAGAGTGGTTTAGGAACCGTTCATGGGACGGTTTTGGACGTGTTGAAACAGACCTATAATACGCGAAAAAATCATAGAGAAAAAATTTCTATTGAGCAATTGGAGGTTGAAATGTATTGTTACGACGTTGCCATGCCATTCAAGTCGCATAATTTTTTTATAAAACATATTTTATGGTTTTTATATAACTCCTACGAGTTCTACCCGGAGAAATATACATGTAATCGGAGCCCGGATAATTACCGTGAAAAACCGGAGACTTCGGGTCAAAACCGGAGGGATGGCAACCCTGTTTGCCATACGCCGTCTATCCCAATCGTATTCTCCTATTAATTTCAAGCTCTTGATTAACTTTGGCTGTCTTTTCATTTAGTATTCTTATTATGTGAAGATGTTCTATGGTAGCTCTTTCTATAGTCTGATTATGATTTAGGTTGGTAATCATCGAATTCGCTTTCTGGGCGATTGGTGATTATTTTCATGAAGAGTTTGTATATCTGAATATCTGAGAGACTTATTATGGGTCTAAAGTTTTCAAGATATGAAGAGTCTTCTTTTTTGTATAACAAAACGATGACAGCAGTTTCCCAATCGTGTGGTATTTTCCCCTCTATTAGACGTTGATTGAAAAGTGCTCTCAGTTGTTCTACAAGGTATTCTTCTGCCTCCTTCAGCATTTTTGGTAGTAAGTATATCGTCCATTCCTGGGGCTTGTCCGTTATTTAATTGGCTTAGCGTTTTTACAATTTCTTCCTCTTCGACCTATTCTATATCAAGGATTTCTTCTAACCTGACTTTTAGAATTTTGGATGTTTCGCTTGTTCTCGTTTCTTGTTTGTTATTTTCGTTGTTGCTTTTTGCGTCATATACCTACTTAGTTCTTTGTAGAAATTTTCTGCAACACGTAATATACCTTCTCTGTCTTCTCTTTTGTGTGCGTTCTTCCTTTTGAAAATGTTTAAGTATTTTGATTGTTCCATCAGTTTTTCGATTTGTGCTTCTTGGTAGTTTTTAATGTCGTGTTTTGTCATCCTTCTGTCTATTTTATTAGTCTCTCTGTATTTTGGTGTATCTGTTTTCCCTTATTTTGTGAGTTCTCTTATATTCCCCAGCATTTGTTTTATTTCTTTGTTAAATTTTTGCTGTCTTCTATTGTTTTCGTTAGTCTTTTAATAATTTGAGCTATATCTTCGTGGGGTTTTATGATGTCTTTCTCCTGTTTTTGTAATAATTTTGTGGCGAATTCTGTTTTTTGCGTTTTACTGGTATGTGTGCTTAATTTATTTCCTCTTTCTAGTCTGCTATATCGCTATTTTACTTTTTTGTGCCTCTTTACGCTTCTTGATGTGTTTCAAGTACCACTTTATCATTCGTTTATCAGCAACTGTGTTCTCTATTCTCCCTCTCTACTTTTTCTCTTCTTCAAGTATCATGCTCTCTTCGCGAACGTTGGCTATCACCAGCGCTATTTACACCTTGTCCACTGCTTTTCTGAAAAGTGTAGTTGTACTCAGTGGCGGCTGGTGAGAGGAAAAGTTGGCGGTGCACACACTCCGGGGGGAAGCTCCAGAGGCGCGCAAATTTTTTTGGACTGACCCAAACTAACCCAAATTTTGATCTAAAAGTTGTAAAAAAAAGACGCCTCTGAAAGTTTTTTCACTTATTCTCAATTCAAACGTGGGCATTTACCATTTCTACAAAATAATAAATGAAGCACGGGCGGAGTACGAGAAATTTAATAAAACAGTTTTATATAAAATAAGACATAAGGCACCATACAAATCGAATAGGAATCAAATTTATAAAAAATATCTACTGCACTGTCTTTCCAGACGAAACTGATTTTTTTGCGGCAGGCACTTCAAAGAAATATGCCACCCTATGGCGCCAGGGACGCCGCTAAAAAATCTAACCAATAAGATATTCCTGGAGTCAACGTTGACTGTCTATCAATAGTCAAATCAAATGAGACAGTAAAAAAAATTAAATTCCTTTGGTGTTCGGCGTTTTACTTATGAAGCACTTATAAAGCACGATACAAATCAAATAGGCATCAAACTTATTTAAAGGGGGTGTGCGCCAAAAATTAAAGTTTTAGTGTAAAAAAATCTAAGAACAACTGTTCAAACCTCGTTATTCTACGATAAACCATCGCTGAGATATACCGCTTTAAAGTGTGGACGACGCTCTCGTGACGTCACGAGAACTTCGTCCAGCCGCGCTCCGCATTGTTAATTTGATTATTCCCGGCACGCGTGAGTGGTTTTTGTTTAGATTATTGCAGGTAACACAGGAAAAACATATGTAAATTTAATTAACTCCACTTTCTCGTGTGTCGCTTGAGCTTTCGTGACGTCATAGGGTGAGATGCGGTACCTTCATAGAGCCATATCTGCGGTATTATTTGTCATAGAGGGGTGCGGATTTCACTGTTATTCTTAGATTTTTTTTTCTCTTTTTTTTGAGATGAAGTTGTTTTTTTGACGCACACCCCCTTTAAAAAAAAAGGGTGCAGTTCGCACCCAGTAGAAGTGAAACCTTCATCGAACTGCATGCATTACACACATACTAACATACACAGTGGCGTCCCCCCCCCCCTCCAAAAGGCTTGAGAAAGAACGCAAAAAAAATAAATATAGTTTAAAAAAACTGAAAAACACGCTTTTATAGTAAATTGAACTAAAAAGTTATTATAATTTTTAATATAAACAGAAAATATTAATGAACAAAAAATATTAGAATTATTGAGAAAAATGCGTGGGGTGCTTTGTTCCACATTTCTCATACATTGAACACCTCTCGCTTTTTTGAC